TTTCTAAAGCTTTAGTTACAAGAAACAACAGCTTTTGAGCAGCATGTTATTAATCTAAATTTAATTAACCTAATACTTAGTAATGGTTTTTATTTTTATTTTATTTACAGACTACACTAGCATTAGTTTGGAGCAAATTACAAAGAAATCCATCACAAGGAAATATGTGTTCTAAGTAAACAGTATGAAGGTAACAAGACAAACAATCTGATTATTCAATATTAAATAACTGAATGCAACACATAAAACACAATAATATGTTAATTGGTGGATTTAACAATAAAGGAGAAAAATCTTTGCCAATTATATATTCTTTGATGGAATTAAGTTATGATGAAGGGGACATAGCAAACCTTTGAGGAATCTCACAACTAAAGGAATACACCAGCCTTCTCTAGGCTCAGACCTTGTTTGTGGCAACATAGCTAAGCACGCCAAGAAAGTCGGAATTGTCATAAATACAGGACCCATTATGGTGCCTCTCTCAGGAAAATGGTAAAGAATAATGAAATAAGCCAGCACATCAAGTACACTTGCTCCTTCTGGGGCAAAACCAAGATAAAAAGACAAGCTGTGGGCATCTGGCGTTGGGATTCCTGCGTGAAAATGGTAGTTGGTAGTGCCTGGACCTGCAACACCACCTCCACTGCCACAGTAAAGTCTGCCGTCAGAAGAATGAAGGAGCTCAATGACCAGTAGAAACTCTACCATTTGAAACACCGCTATGCTATAATGAGTGGGTTCGTTTTGTAGCAAAATTACTTTGGCTTGTTGTGAAATTTATTAATTTGATGTTCCAATTTGTGTCACATTAATTTTGCTTTCTCAAAAGACCTAGAAATTTAAAATCCTTCTAATTAAAAAAAATGCACCAATAAATACACTTTTCACTGATTAGACTGACATGGATTAAAACACAAGTTAATATTCAGTGGGGTGTGGGGAAAGAGATATTCTCAAACACTGCTAACAAAAATGTTAAGTGATACAATCTTATTGCAATTTTGCAATATATATCAGAAATTAAAATGTACATATACACTCACCTGCAATCCACTGCTACAAATTATCCTACATTCTCACACAATTCCAATAATTTAGTGAAACATATATACAGTGAAGAATATTGATTGCAGCATTATATAAACAGGAAAAAACCCTGAGATTTACCCAAGTATCTCTATCAGTAAGGAAACAATTATATTAAATGTAATACATATATGGAAAAATGTCCAAGATATAATTGGCAACTGGAAAGAGAAAGATGTAGAATATATACCTGTTCTTTCTGATGATTTATGGGGAGTACAGAGCTGGGTGAGAGAGGGAAGTTTTACTTATTGGAAACATTTCTATATTATTTGCTCTTATGCAAATAAGCTTAGGTGACTTTAAAAAATAACATTTCCAAAATCCTAAATGTTACTTGGCAATATATTTGAAAAAGGTAAAATGCACATTGTGCAATCTCATCTAGAATGAAGAACATATTTTTGTTAATTTAAAAGTTTTCTTTTTCACATTACAACAAAGGGCAGCACAACTACACTGCTACTAAAGTGAAGCATAGAGAGATTAATTTGAAAATTAAGGAAATTAGCTAACATAAGATAAATATTCATAAAGAAATTCAAATCCTTGGACTTAGGAACTCTGCGAAATGAAAAAAGCAGCTGCTGACCATATAAAATATTGAAGGGCAAAACGAAGGGGAAGAATCTGAAACTGAGGTATACCTATCAGCTTCTGAGAAGAAAAACTAGTCTAAAATCTTTCAAATACATGTTAAGTCAAACAACCTCAAGGTTAAATTTCTCCGAATACTCAAATTTTATCAACAAGAAAACTAAACACACTTCACATCCATGATAAAATAAAACAAATAACTGAAGTTCTACATTTGATAAGATCTATGTCTATGAAAATCCTTGTAGGGATCAGAAGAAACAGCAGGAGATGGGGTCAATGTCCAACTCTGTGTTCAACCTTTATGGCAGAAGCTGCAGAGAGGAAAAGCAACAAATTGATCCCAGTGGGGAAGAAACTCTCCTTGCTTTGGACTTGCTAGAAGGCATAAAAATCCCCCAGGTGACTACAACAGCCAACCCAACTAGCCAAATTTCAAACATGGAAGAAAAAAAACTAGTATAAAATGCTTTAAAATATTCTAAAAGCTTCATTTCTTAAGAAAGTGTATTTTTTATATATATTATAGACCTACAAAGGTAAAACAAAATTTTTAAAAATATTTTTCATCAAACAGCAAGCTTCCTGAGCTACAGAAATCAAAAATGTTATCATAGTTCCAGACTACGATTCAATTTCCTTCTCTACGCCAATATTTTTTTTTACCCTCAGGAAAATGAGAAAAAGTTTTCTTTATTAGATGTGACCAGTCTTCCTAATCTTCTGCTTGTATTAGTCCAATACATCTTTAAAAATCTTTAAAGAAATAAGTAGCACAAACTCACAAAAAGAATACCATTAGTACTAAACACTCCAATTGCCATAACATGGATTAATACCTTCATTTGAAAAGAATAATCAAAACCAACACGGTTTTCCTTAAGGTCTCAACTAAGAACATTACGAGTCATTTTTTTCAACTGGACTGAAAGAAGACTCGAGGGAGGTTTTATTTCTCCTTCCAAAATGTCTATAATGCTGCTTCTGTATTGCCTCATTGGCTCCTTCATACAGCGCAATAGCAACTGAAGTGCCAATGTCCTCACCCCATTCCAGTCAGTATTCTCAATCCCTACTTGTCCGAGACAGAACTCTATTCAGTGTTCTATGTTTTACAAACATTCATTAAGTACACACAGTACTCTGGCACTGTGCTACTAAGATAAGTAAGACACTGGTGGTGTCTCCCTTCAAAGAGCTCACCAAAGTCCAGTAAAGAAAACATACTACTGCGAAAGTGTTAGGTCTGGCTCAAAGGACAAGATAATGCTTCAGATGGACTATTTCAGGAGATAACCTGACAACGAGGAGGAAGGACAATGGCAGCTGGGGAGACAAGGGGCTGGGGAAGAGTGACAACATTTAATCAGGACTAAAACTAAATATATGAAACATCATACTTATTTTACTCAGATAATTCTAGCATTCTGGAATAGCGGCAGTGAGACCACCGTATGCCATATTACAGAGTCTACATTTTCTTGCGCAGGTGACAGGGGAACAATGAAGGGGACAACTAGAGGGAAAAAAAGCAATGTAGAATGCTGGCAAGTGAGGTCAGAGACTTGGAGAATAAAAACAAATTATAGAGAAAAAAATATGTAGCATGGAATATTACTCAGCAATAAAAAGTAATGAACTTCTGATACAACCACATGGAGAAAACTCAAAAATACTATGTTGAGTGGAAAAAGCCATACAAAAGAGTATAATGTCATAGAATTCTATATACATAAAATTCAAGAACAAGCAAAATTAAGCTATGCTGATAAAATTCAGAAAGATGCTTACCTCAGGGGGAAAGGCATTGGATTGGAAAGGCAAGAGTATGAGGAATTTTCTGGGCAATGAAAATGTTCTGTATCTTGACCTCTATGGTACTTACATGTGTGAACATATAGGTAAAAACCCCATTTAGCTCTATACTTTAAATTTTACCACATATAAATTACAACTTAATCTATGTAAAAATGTACATATTTTACTAAAAAAAGAAAAAATGCATACATAATTGTGGTAGAATAAGGCCAGAATAAATTAAACCAGTGTCATCCCTTAAGCAATATCTGACTTTTAAGAAATCAGAATAAAGGTTCTAACAGACGCTGTATATTCAATTAGCAAACAAAATCCCTATAAGACGTTATGTAAAAAAGTCTAGCTTCTTTTCCCCTACAAGAAGATATACAGGCAAGTATTCTTTATAATAAATGCTGTGAAAACAGTGTACTTTTCCCAAAGAAAAGAAATAGCTCACTATAAACAAAAAAAATAAAAATTTTCTATACAGCAATACCTACCTTACAAGAAGTACTATAAAGATTAATAAGGCATGAGAAGCAGTTAACACAATATAGAGCACAGTAAGAACTCTTCACACTGTCATTACAATTATTATGTAATAGCAATAAAAGTGAAACTCTCCTTCCAATTATGCCTAAACTACTTACTGAGAATACACTGTTTAACTGCATATTACTCAACTACAGCACTTCTCACTCTGGGCTTTTTTTTTCTTTTTTTAACTTTGAAATCAGTTAGTTTCTGACAGCTGAAACATCTGGTTAGATTGGAGAAAGACCAAATTAACTACAATTTATCAAAGTATTCTTTTTAATCTGCTTATATCCTGAAACCATGTTCATTTACCAAAAGACAGCAAATGTATCCTTTTAACATCTCAACAGCTTGTATTATTGAAACCCCATATACCAAACCAAACAAGTACATGATCACAATTCAATTTCCTGAAAATCAACAGTCTTAAAAAATTAAAGCAAAGCACAATGCTAAATTAGAAAGTCATTCAGTACAAATATTCATAAGAAAAATATTATCATTTACAGTTCTGAACATTATACTAACATTAAAAAAACACAATTTGGCAAATTTAATCAATTTGTAGAAGGGCTTCATTAATAGAAACAAAAAAGTAAAATTCACAAAGGCAAAAACTACTCAAGTACTATCATCCACTAAGAAAACATTGAAGCAATCTAGCAAATCTCTTACTGAACTGGTTTCTGAATAGCTAAACCAAATGCCAACTCAATTTTCTATGTTTAATAGTCACTGGAAACTGCATTAAACTCAACATAAAGAAGGAAAATGAAGAATTTAGTTCCACAATTTCATAGCTCTACTGTTACTTCCACCAAATCAACTGGAGCAAGTACATCAAAGTCAGTTCTTCATATTTCAAAATTTTATTGAAAAACTCATTAATTCTGAACTTGAAGACACATTTTTAAAACGTAAGTTTTTTGTATTATTCCTACTTTGATACGTAACACTTAACAAAGTCTTCTACTTACCTAGATTTTGTCTTATTAACATCTCGTTGCAAAAACAATCTCATTCGAAATTAACTCAAACCTGAAAAAATACATGCAAAGACCATCATTTAGTTTTCTGCTTCAGATAGAAATAAGTACATTTCTATGACACACTTATTGTTTTAAATTAAAAACTGCAAATCTAATTATTTTCTTTATGTAACATCTGAAAAAGTCATTCAACTAAAACACGATCATTTTAAACTTTTAGGAAACTTGCTAAATACTACCTTTTTGATGAACTGAGATATATTCAAATGAGAAACTTAATCTTTCTAGTTATCTTTAAAAAAGATTTACAATATGGGGCACCTGGGTGGCTCAGTTGGTTAAGCATCCGACTTCAACTCATGTGATGATCTTGCAATCCGTGAGTTCGAGCCCTGCATGGGGCTCTGGGCTGACAGCTCAGAGCCTGGAGCCTGCTTTGGATTCTGTGTCACCCTCTCTCTCTCTGCCCCTCACCTGCTCACACTCTGTCTGTCTGTCTGTCTCTCTCTCTCTCAAAAATAAATAAATAAAATTTTTTAAAGATTTACAATAACTTATTTTGATTAATTTTAATAGTATAGCAATAATTAAAATCAGTATTTGTTAAAACACACATCTCTATCTAGATGTTTGTCTAACACTATTACATACATGCCAAAAAGTACACCAAAAAGCTGAAGATAAAAATACAGTATGAGATGGCATAAAAGTATACACTAATAACAACTGTAATAATGACTAACAATGATTATTTGCTAAATGCCATGGGCCATTATTCTAGAAGGCAATATATACTGATACTCTCCTACTTCCTCAATTTAACCTACAATCTAGCATAATGTGACCGCCACCCCAACATTCCCTTATACTTGAAAAATTACCTACCTCTAATTTTTCACATTTCACAAATTCTGAAAACTCAGTATGTCTTATTCTGTACTCTACACATCTCCTCTCCTTACCTGAAACAAGCTTGTTACTCTTTTAAATTCTTATTCCCCCAAAATGGCACCACCATACCTACTGCCATTCTCACCTAGATTACTGTAACTGCTCTATTTCCAGACTATCATCTCAAATTCATCCTTCTCAGAATCATAGAAGTCCTCATTTTCAAACAGCTATCCTGAAGATGTCACATCTATGCTTCAAGTCCTTCAACACTACTCATCAATGATCTTATCCTTATCGATTTATCCCCAATCTTTACTCTCCCATTCACTCCAGGTTTCTAATACTAAACCCCTTCAACTCCCAGAACAGCTCCCATGCACACTCAACTTTCATGCTTTTTAACATGGCAAACTACACTTACTGTCTCTAACTTTGCTAACATATTTTTTACTAGTTTTGCAATATTCAAATATTAGTTTGAATATTAGTTATCCTGAAAGATCCTTCTCTAATTTCTTCAGCGATGTTGTGTTTCTCAATTGCTATTAACAACTGGTGATAGCTCTGTATCAATTGTTTACTTGTGTGTTTTTCTGAACTACAGTGTGGACACACTGAGGCCAAGAAGTCATTCAGCTTATTTCAGCATTTTCACTGGATGGTACGTGGTAAAAGTACAACAATGTAGGCTGAATGAAAGATAAGAAATTTTGTGTTGTATCCCAAAATGTACATAGGGAAATAAGTAAAATTCAGGCTAATGAGTTTAATTCACATTTCCAGGACTAGAGAAAAAAAGTTCGTATCACTTCTGAATACAGTAACATTACTTTATGAAATAACTACATCTAAGTAAGATACAACTGACAAAAATCAGACCAATGCAAACTTCTATAGAGTAAATTAATTAATTTCACTGATCATCAGTACCAAGATTTTAGTTCTAAATGTTTGCATCCCTACTGAAAACAAAGTTTGTGGACTATAATTCCCGGACTAATTAAAGTATTGGACTTAAGCAAAAAAGAGTTGGAGAAGAAGGTGAATATGGTTTTAATACTAATAATGTCAATAAACTAGAAAGGTGGTTCACAAACTTTAGCATACATCAGAATCACCTAGAGAGCATGTTATACAGACTGCCAGCCCCCACCCTCAGAGCTCCTGATTCAGTAGTTCTAAGTTGGAGCCTAATAATTTGCATTTCTAGTAAGTTCCTAAGATCATGCTGCTATTTCCAGGGCCACAACTGAGAATCACAGGCCTGGAGTTTTCTACATAATGTCTAGAAGAGACAAGAATATTCTCTCTGCCATCCACTACCACCAATCTTTACCTACCCAGAACTGGATACTGTGACCTATTGCAAACTAAACTATAAATCAAAGTGAGAGGACTAAAAGTCCACTAGGAGTTGCTGAGTGTGAAAGGATGAAAAACAATGGCCCTGTAAAAGAGAATGCACATCCTAATACCTGTGAATATTACCTTGTATGACCACTCCTCCCAAAAGAAAAGTCTTTACAGATGTAATTAGTTAAAAATTTGAGATGGAGAGAATACCCTGGATTATCTGGGTGGGCCCTAAGTACAGTCACATATATTCCTGAAAGAGGGGAGACAGGGAAATGTGACTATACAAAGAGAAGGTGAAGACAGAGTAGAGATTTGAAACACTGGCTTTGAAGATTGCAGCCACAGTCAGGAATGTCAGTAGCCACCAGAACTGAAAGAGAACTTTGTAGAAAGTTTCACCATTTCTTAAAGTGTCAAATATACAACTACTACACGTATGATCCAGTCATTCCACTTCTAGGTATCTACCCAAAGAAATGAAAGCATATGCTCATATAAAAACTTACAAACGTTCACCTTTATTTGTAATAGCCAAAAGTTGAAGGAAAAATTGTCCACCAACATGTGAACCCTTACAGTTTTACAATGGAATAAGTAGGAGTGAACTAATGACACATGCAATGTATATGAATTTGAAAATAATTATGCTGACTGAAAAAAATATACACAAAAAGATTATATACTGCATAAGGGAGGAGCAATAAATATGAAAGGATTAAAAGGGGCACAAGTAAAGTTTGAGGGTAAAGGAGAAGTTTATAATCTTCATTGTGGTGATGATTTCATGGGTATACACAGATACGAAATGTATTCAAATTGTACACATAAAACATGATTTATTACATACCAATTACACTTCAATAAAACGGATTATAAGATCACAATATACAAATATTAATAAACTTGAGAAAACAATGAAATCTCTAATTAAAGAAGTCAGAGTAACAATAATGAATACAAAAAGAATATTGTCATTTATAACCAAAAAAGAGTAGAGGTGAAAATAAATCCTCTTTCAACATCTACAACTGGTACTACAATTTTGGTAATTCAATGCATGAACGATGCTTCCAGAATGTCATTAGATATATCCAATGAAACATACGTAACTAGAATCATCTGGACCTCTGAACAGATTGACATATTTAATTTATACTTGCCTAAACTTCTATATGCAAACACAATTCCTCCTGAAATATAATAAAGGTCAACCTGGAACTAAACAAATATAGAATATTAATTTTACATCATGAATCAAAAATCTGTCTGCAAAAACAGCTCCAATTCTACACTTCCCCATTATTCATGCATTTGACAATGAGGCTTTGCAGTTTCTCCCATCAAGAGGTAGAGTGTTTTCCCCTACCCTTAAATCTAGGCTTCCTTATAAGGAAGACCAATAGAATGTAACAGACGTCAGTTCACAAATTCTGAGCTAGACCTCAGGAGACCTTGCATGGTTCTTCTTAGAATCCTGCTACCATCATGAGAACAAGCCTCCTCTACTCTGCTGGAGGATAACAGGACAGCCCAAATGTCCCACCACAGGCCACCCTAGGGAACTCAGTCAAGAGTACCAACACCACCTTCCTGACCTGCTGCTGAATGCAGACTCATAAATGAGTCCAGGCAAGACCAGAAATACTGCCCAGCTGACTTACAGACTTGTTTTAACAATAAAGGTTTGTCTTAAACCACCAAGTTTTAGAGTACAAGTAAAACCCTGAATTGCAAGTAACTTGGTCTGTGAGTGTTCCGCAAGACCAGCAAACATTTCTAATAAATTTTAAAACAAGTGATGTCTTGCAATTTGAGTAGTAGGTGACACCGAATGTCACATGATCACAACTGAGCCAACGGTTCTTGAATTTGCTTTGCTATACAAGTGCTTTGGATTATAAGCATTTCCACAACAAATTATACTCACAAACCAAGGTTTTACTGTAGTCTATTACACAGTAACAGCAAACTGATACAACTCAATCCTAAAGAAACCAAATTAAATTATTCTTATCCCTAGAAGGGTTATTTTTATTTTTCTTAAGCATTTAAAAAAATTTTTAATGTTTATTTTGTGGGTGAGGGGCCGAGAGAGAGGAAGACACAGAATCTGAACAGGGGCTTAAACTCACGAACTGTGAGATCATGACTTGAACCGAAGTTGAACACTCAACCAACTGAGCCACCCAGGAGTCGCTAGAAGAGTTATTTTAGATTAACAATTGACCTCAATTTTTGAAGGCAAGGAAAAAAGAGACATAAAAGTCTCTTTTACTCTTTTATTAGCAGTGACTCTACAAAACATCTTGTGAGTTTGTCAATTTCAAGAGACATATAAACTGAGCAAAATCCTTTTTACAAGTAATGTTACCAGTCAACTATTATTTTTTGTGAAATTCTGTTGCTAGACAGCTTTACTAGATATAACCATATAATGAAAATTTTCAGGGTCCTCCAAAATGATCTATGAAAACTATTAACGAGCAATCTGCTATCTTACCTCTTTTTCCGATTTATGTTAATGGCACCCTGACTGCCCATTAATAAAACACTCTTCACTCAACTGTTAAAGTGGCACCATAGGCCTCCGGACTGAGGGATGAACAAGTGGCATCCAGGCTGATGAGAATTCCTCAGGCAGCCACAGCAATTTGTTCATAGATGAGGAGGCAGGCCAGTGTGGGAAAGTGGGAATCCTTCCCAGGATGTTTCCAAGTACTAGGAAAGATACACTCTTCAGTGGAAATAACAGCCATGAGAATTACGTATGTCAGAGCAGCCAGCAGCATCTCTGCCACGTCACAACATACTTAGTAATGAAGCCACCATAGAAAAAACCCAAGCCAAAAGCTTTAATCATTACCATAATGACACTATATGCACCCATCAATCCAAACATTCTCGAAATAACTGTAGTAATAGCAGAATAGTAAATAACTTATCAATCCTCCTACTGAAGTACCTACTAGAGAAACTGAACAAAATATTTAAAAAACTATCAATTTGAAGGCACCAAAAAGTTAACACAACAGTAAAGAATGACCTGGCCAAGATCCAAGATGGGATGGAAACCTACTGATACAAACCCAGCATCCAAGGATGTTTCTTTGCCTTGGGGGTTTTTACCAATACAGATGAGGCAGCTGAGACACTGATCATAATTTCTGACGTTGTTTTAGAGCTAAGGGGACCAAAACAGGAATGCAGTTCAGAAATGGTGGGAGCCATACTGAATACTGCCCGCTATTAAACTGAGACTCCAAAGGACTAAACTCTAGTGAGCCAGAAGTAAACAAGTCCTTGCATGTACTGCAGCCTTACCTAAAGGCTTTAGCTGAGCAAATTAAAACAAAAACAAACAAACAAAACAAACTCAATCCCTAAAATTTAAATAAAGTAACCCCAGATTGCTGGTCACTCCAGGTGAGGCACAAGCAAACAAAAATTATCTCTGGAAAAAGATAATACAGAATTATTATCAGATTTTAGGCCTGGAGAAGCAGCTGAAAATAGAAATAGAAATTTAAGTGAGAGAACTAGCAGTGAGAGAACCAGAGAAGTAGTGAAAAAATTATCAGTATAAACTTTGCTCAAATCACCAGATGACTGATGAAGGAAGTATGCAAAGAGAACTGCAGGGGTCAAGGGAAAAAAATCTGGCAGAGGCCAGTATTTTTACACATGAAAAACAGAGCTGTACTACTGCTGCTTTTTCAACAGAGTGCATTTCTCAAGTGTGCACCATTTGGGCAACAAGAAGGTGAAGCCTTACAAGGCTGAAGTGCCAGAGGACAGAACCATAGCTCAGGAGAACAGATGAAAACTAGTGGAATCCCTAGAAGAAAACCACAGGGCAAGCATCAAAATCAGACTATAAACCTCACCCAACAAATCTCAGAAAAACACTAACAGAAACCGGAGTCACTAAAACATGTTAATATAATGTCCAGTTTTCAAGCAAAATTATATCCTACACAAAGAAAGAGGAGATTGTGATCCATACTCAGGAAAAAAAGGGGAGTCAATTGATACATTTGGAAACTGGCAAATGGGAACTAAAACCACTACACACTCTCTAAAATGACTAAAATTAAAGATTAACAATATAAAGTGTTGGTAAAATTGAAATGCAGAAGTGTTGATGAGATTGTAAATTGTTACAAAACACTTTGGAAAAAAATTTAGTATCTTCTGACATTAAACATAAATGTACCCTAAAACCAAGCTATTAAACTCCTGGATATTTACTCAATATAAATGTGTGCATGAGTACACGAGGAGACATGCACAAGTAAATACATAGCAGCATTATCCATAAAAGCCTAAAAAGCCTAAAAAGTAGAAACAATCCAAGTTTCCACAAATAACAAAATGGATAAATTGTAGGATATTCATATAATGTACTGTACTATACAGGCATACCTGACAAACAAGCAGCATGGGTTCAGTTCCAGACCATCACAATAAAGCAAAATAGTAAAGTGAGTAAAATGATTTTTTGGTTTCCCAGTACATATAAAAGTTATGTATACACTATAGTATAGTCTATTAAGTGTGCAATAGCATTATGTCTAAAAAAAGTACATACCTTAATTTTATATTATATTATTATATTTTTAATATTTTATTGCTAAAAAATACTAACCATTTTCTGAGTTATCAATGAGTCATAATCTTTTTGCTGGTCTTGCCTCAGAGTTGATAGATGCTGACTGATTAGGGTGGTGGCTACTGAAGGTTGGGTGGCTGCGGCAATTTCTTAAAATAAGACAAGTTTGCCACATCAAATGAGTCTTCCTTTCATGAACTATTTCTCTGTAGCAAGTGATGCTGTTTGAAAACAATTTAGCCACAGTAAAATTTCTTTGAAAATTGGAGCCAGTCCTCTCAAACCCTGCTGTTGCTTTATCAAGTTTATATAATATGTAAATCCTTTGTTGTCATTTCAACAATCTGCACAGCATCTTCACCAGGACTGGAGTGCATCTTTAAAAAGCACTTTCTTTGCTCATCCTTATGAAGCAACTCTTCACCTGTTCAAGCTTTATCATGAGATTGCAGCCATTCAGTCACACCTTCAGGCTCCACTTCTAGTTGTCTTGCTATTTCCACCACACCTGAAGTTACTTCCTCCACTGAAGTCATGAACCTCTCTCCAAGTCATCCATGAGGGTTGAATTCAGCTTCTTCCAAATTGCTGTCCATGTTGTTATTATGACCGCTTCTCATGAATTATGAATGTTCTTAATGGCATCTAAAATGGTGAATCCAGGTTTTATTTTTTTATTTTAAAGACAGGTAAGAGAGAGTACACACACAAGCAGGGGAGAGGTGCAGAGGGAGAGAAAGAATCTTAAGCAGGCTACAGGCTCAGTGCAGAGCCCAATGCAGGGCCCGATTCCATGACCCATGACAGGGATCATGACCTGTGCTGAAATCAAGAGTCGTATGCTCAATTGACTGAGCTACCCCGGCGCCCCTGAATCTAGGTTTTCAATTTACTTTGTTCATATCTATCTTTGGAATCACTATGGCATCTACAGTCTTACAAAATGTACTTTTTAAATAAGACTTGAAATTACTCCTTGATCCATGGGCTGCAGAATGGATGCTGTGTTAACAAACATGAAAACAACATTCACCTCATTACACATCTTTGTCAGAGCTCTTGACCAGGTGTATTGTCAGTAATATTTACAAAGGAATCTTTTTTCCTAGGAGTAGGTCAAACAGTAGGCTTAACATAGTCAATGAAACATGTTATAAAAAGATGTGCTGTCAACCATGCTTTGTTATTGCATTTATAGAGCACAGGCAGAGTAGATGTAGTGTAATTCTTAAGGGCCTTAGGATTTTTAGAATGATAAATGAGCACTGGTTTCACCAGCTGCATTAGCCCCCAACAAGAGTCAACCAGTTCTTTGACGTTTGAAGCCAGGCAATGGCTTTTCCTCTCTAGCTATGCAAGCCCTAGATGGCATCTTCTTCCACTAGAAGGCTGCTTTGTCAATAATGACAATCTGTTGTTTAGTGTAGCCACCTTTGTTAATTATCTTACCTAGATATCTTCTGAATAACTTGCTGCAGCTTCTATATCAGCGCTTGCTGCTTCACCTTGCACTTTCATGTTCTAAAGAAGGCTTCTTTCTTTAAACCTCACAAACCAAAATCTGCTAGCTCCAAACAGTTTTTCTGCAGCCTTTCACCTCTCAGCCTTCCCAGAATTGAAGAGAGGGATTTGCTCTGTAATTAAATGCTCTATCCCTGAGCTATCTCCCCTGAAGGGCCTTGCTCTGGATAAGGCTTTGGCTTAAGGGAATGTTGTGGCTGATTTGATCTTCTATCCAAACCACTAAAACTTTCAACCATATCAGCAATAAGGCTGTTTCATTTTCTCATTATTCATGTGTTCACTGATGTAGCACTTTTAATTTCTTTCAAGAACTTTTCCTGTGCATTCACACATTAACTGACACAAGAGGCCTAGCTTTCAGTCTATCTCAGCTTTTGACATGCCTTCCTTACTAAGCCTAATCATTTCCAGGTTCTGAGTTAAAGTGAGAGACGTGCAACTCTTCCTTTCACTTAAAAACTTAGAAGCCATTGTAGGATTATTAATTGGCCTATTTTCAATATTGTGTCTCAGGGAACAGGGAGGCTCAAATAAAGGGAGAGAAACGGGAACAGCCAGCCAGTCAGTGGAGCAATCAGAACACAACCAACATTTATTAAGTTTACCAGGCCATCGTGGTTTCTGGCACCCCAAAGCAATTATAGTAGTGACATCAACAATAACTGGTCACAGATCATCGTAAGAAATATAGCAATAAAATGTGTGAAATGTTGTGAGAATTACCAAAACGTGACACAAAAACATGACGTAAAGCAAATGCTGTTGGAAAACTGGTGCCGACAGACTTGCAGATACAGGGTTGCCACAAACCTGAAATTTGTAAAATAAATAAATAAAAAAAATGCACTTGCATGGCTCAACAAAGTGTGATAAAATGAGGTATGCCTGTAGAGCAACGAAACTGAATGAACTACAATTTTATGTGAAAATATAAATGACTCTCACAAATAATGCTGAAAAAAGCCAAGATCCAATTATGCAAATTTCATTAATAAGAAAAAATATATACCTCAAAAATGTATTTTTAAGTAATAAAAATATAAAACAAAAAAGTGACTACCATAAAAGGTGGGATGGTAGCCTCCCAAAGACAAGGGGGGAGGCTGATTGGGAGGGAACAGAGTGGAAGGAGTGGCAATGTGTTAAATTCTTGACTAGGGGTTAAGAAGGTATGCACTTCTGAATTCTAAAGTTGCACATTTTTACCATGTGTTATTCTGAGTATTTTTTTCCACATTAAAAACATTACACTATTAAAAATATAGACATTTAAGGCTTTGAATTTTCCCGAGTAAAGCATTGGCATTATACTATTTTGTTTTTACTTTAATTAAAATTATTCAAATACATTATTTTAAGATTTCAATTAAAGCTTGTTATGAAAATCAAGACTACCCACCACCCCTTCTCTAACCATCCCTCCCCTACCCCTGAGTTCTAAACAATGTAGTTATACTTGTATGTGGATTTTTCACTTTGGATCTGACTGAACCCTACATGAGAAAATGAATTAACTCCTTGTATTCCTTCTATATTTTCTAAAACCTCCTCAAAGCCCTACTGAGGATGGCTAGCTGAATTTTTCACGAAAGTGTAAAAGCAATTCAATGGAGAAAAAATGTCTTTTCAACAGTTGGTGCTACAGCAACTGAATATACAGACAGAAGAAAAAGAGGATACCAACTTAAATCTTACACTCTATACCAACATTAACTCAAAATGGATTATAGATTTAAACATAAAATGTAAAACTATTAATCCTGTAGAAGACAGAAAAATCATCAGGATCTAGACCTAGAAAAAGAGTTCTTAGAAATAACACCAAAAGCATGATCCACAAAAGAAAAAACTTGATAAGCTGGACTTCATCAAAACAAAAATCTTTTACCCTTTGAAAGATCCTGTTAAGATGATTAAAAAGTGACAGAGTTGGAGAAAGTATTTGTAAACTACATTAACAAAAGACTGCCATCTAAAACAGAATATAGAACTCTCAAAACTCAACAGTAAGACATAAGCAAAAATATCAAAATAAGGACATTTGAAAAGCATCATCTCCATTAAACCAAGAAGAACACTGGCAAAAATAGTGTCAACATTTTCCAAACTAGAAATTAACCAAAGGCTCGCAGCAATCTGGGGAGAATTTATTCAAGAAAGACAGCTATATTTTAGTAAGACGAGCAAACTGTGGCATTTTTATTTTGCCCTATTCCCAGCCTCCCACTCCAGCTTTATAGTAGCTTTGAAAGTCAACAGTCCACAAACCTGGTGAAAACTAACAGCCTGGCAGTTCTATCAGGGGGGCAGAAGAAGGTGGACTGCCTCTACTACTACATTCCCAGAGGACTGTCATTATTTGACATGTCTGGTGGTTTCCTGGAAGACCCCACTCCCAAAGCTATCTTAATTTGACCTCAGAGCTCCCTCCATGCAAAACAAAACAAAACAAAACAAAACAAAACAAAACAAAACAAAACTCTTTGCCCCAAGGGTATTTGTCAAAAACTATCAGAGGCAATTGTTTCATATTGCAGCTGACCAAGGCAGTGGATAACACTTGAGACAAACAATAGGCTAACCAAAAGAGCTTAAAAAGAAAAACTGGGTGCTTCAAAAAGTTCCAAAATATTCCTGAGAATCTAGATGGTCATATGTAAGCACAGGTATGTGCACATGCTCAGGAAAAAACTGAGAAGGCCCTAAGCACTCACCTCTGGCTAACGTGAAGCTCTACACAAGCAGCAAGTTAAGAGTAAGGCAAAGTTACAAAATTCTCTTCTGAATGCTGAAGGCTCCAACACACACAGACCTTCTAAACAAAAACTGGGAGACTCACTGATTACAGGTATTTAAGGACACCTCTGTTGAATTATTAGTTGAACACTAAGCTCAATGAGTAGAGACTTCAGTAGTCACCCATGTTAAAGAAAGCAGATTTTACTCAATTCAATTTTGTTTATTAGTTCAGAATAAACAAACAGAAACAAACAGTAACAACAACAAACACTGGGGAGGGGAGAATATCTGATTATCAAAGCTTCCACATTATTAATAATTTAGTTTTCAACAAAAAAACAGTAACACTTAAAAAAAAAAGACTTAAAAGAAAATCGTTCATATACATGGGAAAACAAAGACAGTCAATATAAAGTGTCCAAGGAAACACAGACATTAAACTTAACCACATTCACAAATCGCTTATTTTAAACATGTTCAAAGAACTAAAGGAAATCTATGTCTAACAAACCAAAGGAAAGTTATGAGATAGATGTCCCACAAATAGAAAATATAAATAGATATAAATCATGATAAAGAATAAAAAAATTCTGGAGTTGAAATGTAAAAAATTTTAGTGAAATTAAAACTTCACTAGAAATTTTCACCAGATTTGAACAGGCAGAAAAAGAAATCAGTGAATCTGAAGATAAGTCAATTGTGATTAACTTCTCTGAAAACAGAAAGAAAAATCAAAGATTAAAAAAAAAAAAAAAAAAAAGAGGAGTCTAAGATACCTGGGGGACACCATTAAGCATGTCAACATACACATAATGGGAGTCCCAGAGAGAGGGGAAGGGAGGGGGAGAGAGAGAGA